TATTGATTATGTCCTTGGAAGACATAGAGCCTCCACCTCAGAGCTTTTGCACTGGAGGTTCTCTCTGTTTGAAATGTCTGTTCTCTCCCTTCCTGAATCAGTCAAATACTGACTCAGGGAGGCCTTCCCAGGTCATTGGTCCAAAATCACCACCTTTGGTAACCTTCACCACTTTTCTAGCCTTTTCTTCATAACACCTTTGATTACCTGACACCACGCATCCCTACACTGCACTGTTCCTTTTGTTCCTTTTTTTTTTTTTTTAACATTTTAAAAGGACTGGCTTGTTAGGAAAAGGAGAAAGGAAGAAAAAAGAGAAAGGAAGAAAAAAGAGAAGCCCCCCCCCCCCTTTCCCCCTGCATAGACATAGGTGTGCTGAGAGTGGCTGCTTTGCCAAGGTAAAGGGCCTGTGAGAAGAAACGACTGCAGAGTTGAGAAACCTGGTGGGGGAGAGGTGGTGCAGCTGCCGCTTGGGCCTGGGGGTTTCCAACTTGGGTGGTTTCTGCTGCTTCTCTGAGGAGCGCCCTTTGGACGTGGCCGGCCATGCACTGAATCTGTAGGTGTGCTGGTGGCCTGGGCGTTTTAACGACCTACTTGCCATCATGAGCATGGAGTGTCTTTTTCGTTTACTTGTGCTGTCTTCAGTGTCTTTCACCTCCTCAGTTAGATGTCTTCCCAGGTCCCTGTTCTTTCTGATACAATTGTAAATGGGATTGTTCTCTTGTTTTCTCTTTCTGATGTGTGGTTATGTATAGAAATGTAGCTGAGTTTGTGTATTGATTTTGTCTTCTGCAACTTGACTGAATTCATCTTTTCTGTTAAACAACCTTCGGTGGAGTGATACGGAAAATTGCAAGTAGAAAAATCCTGTTGTTTCAACCACATCTTGGGTCATCTGCAACACTTGCGATCTGGTGGCCACTAATAGAACCTTCCCACGGTGTCTCTTAGTAAGATGTGACTCCTCCGGGGACACTTAGCCTGGCAAAATTGCATGGACAGTGTAAAGTCAGGGCTTGGCTTGCATAATCAATTTTGCTGTCTTCTCTGTGGTTTTTGGAGTGCATTTGAGTGGCTCTCCAGTTACTTCAAATGTCCAGGTAACTAATAAGCAGTGGAAATACTTAATATTTCATATTCATGTTCCCCAGCATTTGTGCTTTACCCCATATATCACTTTCCCCATAAGTTTTACCCGAAACACACACTCTCCTCTCCCAGGAAGCCCCAGCATAACCCAGTGAGGACATCACTACAGTTTCCATGTTATAATCCACTCCACAAGCCCACCTCAGTTTTTACCCCTGCCCCGGCTGCATCAAATGTCTTATTCCATTCTGATCTACTCTTTTTGGAAACTTCCTGATTTTCACAACGCATTTAGTGTGCACCCCTGCCTACAATCTGGGTGGGCATTTCCTTCTGACCTCCATTATGCAGGTTTTCATGGTCATGCTTTGTTTTGCCACCTCTTTCGCCCATTTAGCTGCATGGCTATTTAAATGTTTCCTCAGACTTAGACTTCTTTGGTGGCATTAAACCAGGGGAAAATGAAATTATCATTTGTATGGTAGGTTATAATATAACCATGATCAGAACATGCCACTATTTCAGCTTTAATTTCTTTATTTTTTTTTTCTCCACTGGCACTAGTGACATTGCTAAGTTTTTTTTAAAGACTTATTTATTTATGCACACAAGAAATGAGGTACAGGCTAGAGGTGTGGGGGTGAGAGGATTCACCAGAGACAGAGTTGGGAGCAAAAAAGGCAGATTGACTGAAATACACTGCTGAAGGGAGCAGTGGGTGAGACAGGAGAGGTCTGCTGCGCCATGTGGGTAGCTCCCTGGCCAGGGATTGAACTTGTGCTGCAGTGGCTGTGGATAGCTTCATAGGTTGCGTCTTAAACCCTTGTGCCACCAGGGAGGCCCCGACATTGCTAAAATTAACACACATTTTCAATGTGAGGGCTTTTGACTTGAGGCTGTCTCTGCTTGAAGTGCCTGCTGTGTCACTTCATTCAGGTCATTGTCAATAACTCCTTCCTCAGAGCAACCCCCCAGGTCACTCTGCCTATAATAGCACCTCTGTAACCTCTATCTTTTCCACCCCATTTCTTCATAATGCCTATTAGTATTTGACATTTTTCACTTTGACCCTTTCTCTCCCCTTCCCTCAAACCTTTGAAACCTGACTTTTTTCAGAGTCTGATAGCTTTCATAAGCGTCTTGCTTTGTTTTCTCACCTGCTGTGTAAACATCCAGTATTTGTCTTTGTCATTCTGACTTGCTTTACTACAAGGAACCCCTCAATTTCCTTCCATTTTGTTGGCAAGTATAATATTTTGTCTGTGTATATGGCTGAATATTGCTCCGCTATGTGGGTAGCTCATGTCTTCTTCACCCAGGCCTCTCATGGACACACAGGTTGCTGCCCTGGTTAGGGGTAATTTGGTTATGAAGTGAGGAGGACCGGGGCATGGCATGGTCACTCAGCTGACACCTTCTCAGTCCCATATTTCCTGTTCAGGCTGGTGGTAACTTGTCAGCACTTCATTTATCTCTTTCACTGTGATGAAATTTACATGCCATTTACCTCTAAAACCTTCAATTACATACACATTGTTGCACAACTGTCCCCACCTCAGTCTCCAGAGCCTTTTCATTCCACCCCTGAAACTACCCATTTCGCACTAACTCCCCCTCCTCTTTCCCCTCACCTCCTGGGTTCTGTTTCTGAATTTGAATGCTCTGGATACACACACAAGATGAATTTCTCTACAGTTTCCTTTTGTGTCTGGGTAATTTATTGCCCTTAGCACCATTACTCTAAGGTTGCAGCATGCATCAGAATTTCCTTCCTTGTCTAAGGCTATTACAGTTTACAGATGGACATGAAGTGGCTATTCTTGGTCCAGCCAAAAGATATCACTTCAAAGATAGCTAACAGCCTTATGGACCTGCACCCCAATACAACTTGTCAGCTTGGGAAAGATGTTCTTGTCGTTTGTCCCATTGTTACAGACCCACCCTGCTGTTCTGGCAAGATAAGCAGAAGCATTAAAAGACCATCCTGGCCAGGGGGGCCTCCCCGGTGGCGCAGCGGTTGAGCGCTGGGTTGCGAAGCTGCCTGCAGCCTCTGCGGCACCGGTTCGATCCCCGGCTGCTCCTCGGCCACCGGAGGGGGTCCCACATGGCGCGCAGGCCTCTCCTGCTGCCCGCTGCTCCCCTCAGCAGTGTACTTCGGTCCTTCTGCCTGCTCTGCTCCCCGCTCTGGCTCTGGTGAATGTTCTCACCCTCCTGTGCTTCTGACTGTACCCAGTGCTTGTATAAATAAATAAATAAATGAACAAACAAATAAATAAAAATCTTAAAAAAAAAAAAAAAAAGACCATCCTGGCCACCCCCATTTCAATAGTGTGCAAGTAATTTCCTTTCACCCTGTGCCTTTCTGTCTTCCTGAAACACCTAGTCTTCATGTCGCTGTGTTTTCTTCCCTGTTACAGTAATTCAGCATGTGTTTTAAACAATAGTAATCTTTGCACAGTGAGGCTCTGGGCTGCTGCTGCTTAGCTGGAGCTACTTTGGAGTAATCCGCCCTCAGACCACATGGCTGTAATGACGTGTCTCACTGGTCTCAGGGGCAGCTCTGGAAGAAATGCAGGATGTTTCTACAAATGGAATGAAAATTTAACTTCTTGCAGGTGTAGCAATCCAATTATGTTAATATTTGCCGGGTATATTTTGTGCTACAATATGCACACCTATTTCACGTAAACAAAATGTCATCTTTTTGAAAGCTTTCAAAACATTTTTGGCATGAAGTAAATAGATCAAGAAAACTTAGGAGTATATTGCCCACTTCAGCCCCAGGCAAGGGGTAGTATTTTTTGGATGATAAACCTAGACACTAGGATGGACAGACTAATCCTTTTAGTTAACCATGGTAAGAACATGGCCAACAGAGCCAGCTCCCATTCCTTGAGAGACTTTCCAGGTAATGACCACAAATAAGAACAAACTAAAATGAATGAACCAACAGTAAATGAGCCCCAACAGTTTACTAGGGCCTCATCTCTGCGTGGCAAAAGCAAAATGCTGTTCAGGTGTTAGTGTCTGGGTAGCTTCTCCCTGTCCCTTTTTGGCCTGGCATGTCTGGCCAGCAGAGGCCTTATCTCCTCTAGTCTCTCCCACCACAGACTGGGAGTCCCTTAGTGCAGAGGCCACACCTTTTACCTTAAGCTCCTTCACATCTGGAGCTGGGACCTGGGTGACCTTGAGGGAGGCCCCACAAGGGTGAGGGCTCATCCCCTTCCTTCCCTACCACTGGTGGAGCGTTGCTATGGCATTTCCGCAGCTCTGCTTTCCCTAGAGCCAGACGGCCACTCTTCTTCCTTTCACACTTGGTCAATGCATACAAAAACAGTTTCTCATTGTCAGAAAAGTTCTGGTTCCTTAGCCTTTAAATGTCCCTAACTTACCACTTATCTCCTTCATACAGCTTCACTCTTCAATAATGTTTTCCTGTCTTTAACATTTCTTTCCCTTCTTGTCAGGTGGGAGCTCCACTTTACAGAAGCTCTGCTGGGGTCAGGTGACCATCAGTCTGTCCCCTGCGGGTGTAGCTGCACTGGTGGCCATTTTCAAAGGATTTCCCAAAGGTTTCTGATGCTGGAAAGATCACAGTAGTGCTGCCTCTGCTGTTTGGGAAATTAGCCTCACAAAAGGCTCAGTTCTCATCACCTTACCCATACTTCCCCTCACCTGTCTGGTCCCTCTTGCTCACCATCCCCTGCGCACTTTTTGTATCATTAAGAAGCAGGATCACAGGGCTGTATCAGCAATGCACACTCACAACCAAGGAGATGAAGCTGTCTGCACACCCATGACAGGTATCTGCAGGATGGGGGAGAGGGCAGGACTACCCCAGTTTCTTTAAAAGCAGGACCAGTGGACCCCAATGTTCCTTTTATAGGTTCCTGCTTTGTGTTCTCACTAACCAGGATCTGTTTCTCTTCTGAGGCTGGGTTTCCCAGGATGCAACCTCAGGTCACTGCAACAGGATGTGGAGTCACAGGTAAGCAGGGCAGCCTCCGTGGCCCAGAGTAACTTAGAGAAATCTGGAAAAGAGAATGAGGAGAGAGATGCTAGCTGGCCTGCTAACAGTTTACTATTTCAATGTATTATTAGAGATTACAGGCCGTGGGGAAATTTGTGCATCAAAATGTGTAATGATCCTGATGTCCCTTCATGGTTAGGTCATGGTTAGATTTACTCATTTTTGCCAACAATACCACAGGAGTAACTTCCGTCTGCGTTTATAAGGCGCCCGGTACCCATTTGTCCCATTACCTCGATGTCAGTGCCCTTTGCTTGGCTCAGGGCTTCTCTGCCAGTTTCCTCCACTACCCAGTTAGTAATTTTCTAGTGACCACGAATAAGGGTGATGGAGAGATTCACCAAGTGATGGACGTAAACCATCACGTTTAACCTGAAAAGTCTCTTTAGATTCTGTTTCTACTTTGTTTTGGAAAACGAAGGCTCTCACCTTTGGAAACGTTGGCTTTTTAGTGGAAATAATAAGGCCTCAGTCTAGTATGTTTCCATTACATTATACACCACAGACATTTTACACAGTTACCCTTTGTTCCTTCAGAAAAGACAAATCCTAAATCTTTTCTCAGCATGAATGTTAAAAGAAATAAAACCTGTTAAAAAATACTCAGCTCAATACTCTCGTTGAGTCGATACACCGTCCCTGTTGTGTTTTAAGAAATACAATATTCACAAATAGAATTATCAGTTTCACAAATTAACATGATTTTGTTGATAATTATGTACTCTGTCACTTGTGATGTCTGTAGTGCCATATCTGTGTGTGTGTGTGCATGCCCCTAAAGCCCTTCTCTTTTGGCTGAGACAATAGTCTTCGGGTTCTTGCTGCCAGCTCCCCTCTCTCCCTTCCTTATTAGATGTATCTAGAGCCTACTTACTTTCACTGTGTAGTAATTTTCCCAGTCTACATACACATTTGGTGAGAGTATATTTCCTTAATATTTTCCTTCTTTGGTGGAGTTACATTACCCCTAGGATTTTATATTCTCTTATCATTTAACACTATAACAATTATTTTCCACATCATAACAAACTATTCAAAATTGTATCTAATTGCTGTTATTTATGTACATGCAGTAAATTATTTAAGCATTCCCTGGGATTTTCTTTTAGATTGTTTTCAATCATATTTTACTATACCTAAAGGTCTAGTGGACATTTTCACACAGACTTTTATCTGTATTTCATAGCATTTCCTTAATTCATTTCCCAAAAATAAAATGATTTTCTATTTAACATGAAATAAGATATTTTAAAGGCTCTCTGCAGAAGGGTGGTATTACTTTATTTTCTCAGGAATGACTGGGAATACATATATCTCGTCCTTACCAACAACACATTCTATTTTCTTCAAGGCTTTTGACAAAAACTGCCCCGCCCCTCCCCTTTCACAAAAAGCCTCTCCTTTATATTCCTCCATCTGTCATCTTTAGTCTTTTTAGAAGACTTTGGAAGTCATCTTTAGAAGCACATTACTTCTTCCCGCCACCAGGCGGCGCGCTGCATGGCCGCGCACCCTCTGAGTCAGCACCGGGGGGGCGGGGGGGGCATTCTCCGCCCTTTCATTTCTCGGCGCTTTTGCTGTGCTGCTCTACCTGCGCGGCGCCTCAGGGCGTCTTATTCCCGCCCCCCACCTCCCGGAAGCCCTCAGTCACGTCTCTGTGCTTCGTCCATCGGCAGCCTGACCATTATTCTGTGCGTCGCCCTTTTCCCTCCCTCCCGGTCCCATCTTGGGCCTTACTCGGTGCTTTGTGCACCCCTCCGCGCCCCTTACCAGCCCGTCCGCGCGGTCGTCGTTACCCCGCGCTGGCCCCACATTATCCCTCCGGCCCACCAGACGGCGCGCTCCGTGCCTGCCTCCTGCCCTTTGCCTCGGGACCCGCTCCTCCCTCGCCCGTCAGGCCGCGCGCCAGGTGATGACGTAAGATGCCCAAGGCTAGCCGACCTGTCTGCGGGAGGGGGGACGGGGGACGGGGCGGGGACGGGGGGAGACGGGGCGGGGACGGGGCGGGGACGGGACGGGGATGGGACGGGGACGGGGCGGGGGCGGGGACGGGGACGGGGCGTGGACGGGACGGGGACGGGACGGGGACGGGACGGGGACGGGGGCGGGCCGAGGGCAAATAAACTTCGGGAGGGACACAGAGTGCAGTTTTGTGGACCGCAGTAGTAACGCGGGAAAATCGCTGCCACAGGCGCACGCCGAGGAAGGAGCGACTCTGGAGCGAAGGCAGGGAGGGCGACACGGAGACCGCCGCGCCGTGGCCCGGAGTGGTCACGTGGGAAGAAGGTGGCCTAATGACCGCGGCGGGCGTGGTCAGGAGCGGGGAGCCGCGCGGGGAAGAGGCCCCACCCAGGGTCGGGGCTCATTTACTGTTGGTTCATTCATTTTAGTTCGTTCTGATTTGTGGTCATTACCTGGGAAGTCTCTCAAGGAATGGGAGCTGGCTCTGTTGGCCATGTTCTTACCATGGTCATAAAAGGATGAGTCTGTCCAACCTAGTGTCTAGGTTTATCATCCAAAAAATACTACCCCTTGCCTGGGGCTGAAGTGGGCAATACACTCCTAAGTTTTCTTGATCTACTTACTTCATGGCAAAAAGGTTTTGAAAGCTTCCAAAAAGATGACAATTTGCTTACGTGAAACAGGTGTGCATATTTTGTAGCATAAAATATACCTGGCAGTTAATAAAATAATTGGATTGCTACACCTGCAAGAAGTTAATTTTATATTGCATTTGTAGAAACATGCTGCATTTCTTCCAGTGCTGCCGCTGAGACCAAGGAGACACGTCATTACAGCCATGTGGTCTGAGAGGGGTAGGGGGTTACTCCAAAGATCGCTTCAGTTAAGAAACAACAGCCCAGAGGTCTCATTGTGTGTACAAAGATTATTATTGTTTAAAACACAGATGCTGAATTACTATAACAGGGAAGAAAACATAGAGACATGTAAGTAAGACTAGGTGTTTCATGAAGACAGAAGGACACTTGGTGAAAAGAAATTACTTGGGCGCTATTGAAATGGAGGTGGTCAGGATGGTCATTTATTGCTTCTGCTTGTCTTGCCAGAACAGCAGGGTGGGTTTGTAACAACGGGACAAATGACAAGAACTTCTTTCCCAAGCTGACAAGTTGTATTGAGCGTGCAGGTCCAGAAGGCTGTTAGCTGTCCTTGAGGTGATGTCTTTTGGCTGGACCAAGAATAGCCACTTCACGTCCATCTGTAAACTGTAATAGTCTTAGACAAGGAAGGAAATTCTGATACATGCTACAACTTGCAGGAAACTTAGAGTCATTATGGTAAGGGCAATAATTACCCAGGCAAAAGAAAACTGTAGAGAAATTCATCTTGTGTGTGTATCCAGAGTAGTCAAATTCAGAAACAGAACCTAGAATGTGGCTGCCAGGGGATGAGGGCAAAGAGGGATGGAGAGTTGGTGGGAAATGGGTAGAGTTTCGGGGGATGGTAAAATGAAAAGGCCCTGGAAAGTGGAGATGCCTAGCTGACATACTTATAACCAACTCCACATACTTATAACCAAATTACACCTACGCAAAGGCAGCAACCTGTGTGCTCACTGAGGCCTGGATAAGAAGATGTGGTCTATCCACACAATATAACACTACTCAGTCATATGGGAAGATAAAATATTACCATTGACAACAAAAGGGAAGGAATTCAAGGGACTACTTTTGTAGCAGGGTGGTCTCCAGGAAAAGGGCAGATTCCAGGTTCCCTGCCCCACCCAAGGAGGAGTGTTGCTAAGCAGGGAGGAGGAGAAGCAGGATGGGGAGCAAGAAGGAGGCCTGGAGGAGCATGTGGAGCAGAGAGACGTAAAGAAGCTGCACTTACTCCTTGGTCTTGGACTGGTTGAAACAGATGTGGGTGAGAGGCTTGTGGGCAGGTTAACAATGGCATATTTTATCTTGATTTTGATCTTTTCATTTCAGACTTGTCTGGCTGTTTTTGACCCTTTTCTATGGGTCCCCACCATAAGGTTCTGTAGACTTGTGGCAAGCTCTCAGGCCTCAGTGGCCCTGCTTTGGGCCAATCCTGTTTGGCTGGGCATTTACCCATGAGGGGATGGGTAACTTGATCTGGAAATGTTAGTATTCCCCTTTTCTTTATTGCACACTAATTATATTAAAGTTCCTTTGCATTTAAGGTCTACACACTAGAGTATGTTTTGTCTAAATGTGGTGGAATGGGGAGGTTTGGTGGTTCTAGGGGGCTCGCATCCTGCCCTGTAACACTCTGTAGTAAAGCAAGTGAGAATGACAGAGAAATACCCACTGTTTCCATAGCAGGTGAGAACACAAAGTAAAATTCTTGTAAAAACTACTGGGCTCTAGAGAAGTGAGGTTTCTGAGGTTAAGAGGGAAGCAGCGAGAGAAAGAGCCAAAGGGAAAAATGTCAGGCACTAATATGTTTTATGAAAAAAAGGTCTGGAAAGTAAACTAAGATTACAGAGGTGCTATTATTGAGTGATCGGCGCGGGGGTGGGGGTTGTCTCTCTGAGGAGGGATTATTTGGCAGTGGCCTGAATAAAGTGACACAGTGGGTACTTCACGCAGTGTAAACCTCAAGTGCAAAAGCCCTGACACTGAAAATGTGTGTTTTTCTGGGCAAAGTTAATAGGACCAATGTGTGTGTGTGTTTGGGGGGGGGGGTTAAAGCTGAAATACCTGTTTTTGTCATGATTATATGATAATCCGCCATAAAAATGATTATTTCATTTTTCCCCTTTTTTTTTTTTAAGATTTATTCATTCACGCATGCAAGAACTGGGGCACAGGCCAGAAGTGTCGGAGGTGAGAGGACTCACCAGGGACAGAGTGGGGAACAGAACAGGCAGACTGACTGAAATACACTGCTGAGGGGAGCAGTGGGTGAGACAGGAGAGGTCTACCAGGCCATGTGAGTAGCTCCCTGGCCAGCCGGGGATCAAACTCATGCTGTAGACTCTGGGCATCCTGCAATGGCTGCAGACGGCCT